GCCGGGAGCCCCGCTCAGCCGCCGCTGGTGAGAAGCGCAGGGCCCGGGGGCCCAGCAAAACGGCGCCCAAATCCAAGGAGTTCATCGAGACTGAGTCTTCGTCCTCGTCGTCCTCCTCCGACTCGGGCTCTGAGTCGGAGCGGGAGCAGCGCCCGCTGCCCAGGGCGCCGGTGGCCAAGGACGCGGGCACCGGTGCCACCAGCAAAGCCCACGGCGCCTTTGGCTCCATTAATGCCAGGACTAGTAGTGAGATAGCAAAGGAGCTGGAGGAACAGTTTTACACCCTGGTTCCTTTCGGTAGGAATGAGCTCCTGTCTCCTCTGAAAGACAGTGATGAGGTAAAGTCGCTGTGGGTCAACATTGACTTGGCTCTTTTGTCCAGGATTCCAGAGCGCTTGCCCGAAGAGCCGCTGGCCATGAGCGCCGGAGCCAGCCAGGCGGCCAGCCTCCCGCAGGGTGGTAGTGCTGACCCCCCCACAGAGAAGGGTTTGCCGAAATCTAGAAGGAAACGCAAGGTGAGCTTCGAGGGGACTTGTCAGGGTGGGCTAGGGGGGCCTCCTAGGGTGCATCACTCGCACCCATATCCAGGGCTCAATGGCAAGGTCTTCTCCCGGCTGGCACTTCAGCGCTGGGATTCATCCCTGCTCACCATGCAGGAGACAGCCAAGCCCCAGGGACGATGCCATCCTAGGACATGATGAAGCTCTTGCCCACAAGGGATTACAGCCCCGTGGAGACGGTGTTCACTGCTGGCACACAACTATCTTGCCATGGTCTGCATGGTGCTGTGTGTGCAGAAAATGAGAGGCAGCATCTTGTTTTTCCCCTCAGATTGTCAACAAGAGGCAAGCCCTTCAGTCCCAGTGGGGAAGCCCTGGCTTCTTGAGGGATGCGCTCACAGCAACCTGGGACCAGGCTGCAACCTGCATCCCTTGCAGAGCTGTGGCCCCCTTTTGCCCCAGGGCTCTCACACAGCTGTCAGAAGTGGGATTGTAGTCCATTAGCTGCCTGCTCCACAGCAGCGCTATGACAGCAGCTCCCCTCTGGTCACATCCACCTCTCCATTCTGCCTCTCCTGCATGCTTTCTGAGACACTGGTAGCACCAGGGAGAAAGCCCCCTTCACCTCATGGCCACAGGTGTCCACCGAGGAGGCTTCTCATCTGTTTGTACCCCAGAAGTCACTCTGAACTGTAATCACCATCTGCCCAGTTTCTGGACAGTTTTGGTGTGCAGTCATCTGTTGCCCTCTGAGCTACTGTACATGTACAGATTAATCTGCAGATTTTTCAGGACCTTTTGTCTAAAGCACTCTTTACTTTTTTAGTATTTTCTCTCAGTTTTTGGTTCTTTTAGTATCCGAAATGTGGCTACCCTGTTCTTGCCACTGGTAGAGACATAACTAGTAGAGAGCCTTGAGCTTTGAGATTTGTTTATCTGCATTTTCTTTAGGAAGTAACAGGGAAGTAATTGCACAGTACAGAATTATGGTAAAAAGGTCAAGAAAGAGTGGCAGAAGCAAAATATTTATGTTTTAGGCCCTAGGAGATGCCAGTGTGATAGTGCCAGGCTATACATCCAGAACAAAACAGGAGGGCATGATAGAGGAGCAAAATAAATGTGATTGTTCTGGAAATGTTTAATCTGACTTTGTGTGGCATGTTTCATGTTTTACTCTTCTATCCTAAAGCTCTGCACTCGGTGGTGGTTTTAGTGATACAATAAATACAAGGCATTCCTAGAGTACCAAATTGCTCCTCAGCCTAGATTAAGACCCTCAGTGGGACAACTGCTATGCAAAGTCACAGTATGTCATCCCCCTTCCCAAACAACTTTATGAATAAGACTAGTAAAAATGGATTATCAGCCATAGGTGCAAAATTAGAAAGAGATCCTTATCACAGAATCACAGATCTTATCACTTGTTCTCACAGATCCTTATCACTTCTACCTCTGTCATAATCATAAGAATATGGTCGAAGTAGAGTCAGAGAAGCATGGTTAAGCACTCAGGTGTGAGAAGATGTGGAGTGTAAGCTACAACCTTAACCCCATAGCAGCAGCCACAGTGGCAGTGGATGAGACAGAAAATGTTGCTGCCAAGCAGCAAGGCAATAAATACAGCAGAATCAACAGATTGCAAGTAAAACTCAGCCAGCACTGGAAACTGAAGTGTTAGAAGTGGAAAATAATGTGGACTTTGCAGGAGCCTGGGAAAGCAGAGCCTTTGGGACCCAATTATAGAACCTAAAGAACATAACATAAAATTAAATACTGGCAGGAAACATTGGCTGTGTTCATACTAGTAGTCCAGACAGAGCCAAGGTGCAGTCCAAAGCAGTGGCACACAGTGACATGCTTTGTTTAACTGCTAGCACACTTGCTAACATGGGTTTGGCCTGGGTTGATTTTTGTTCTTCCAGACAGCATCTGGCCTTTACTCAGGACCAAACTAAGGTTCCTTCCCGAAAGTTAATCTGAACTGGCATACCCTGGTTTGAAGGAGTGAGGTGAATGTATAGGTGTGAGCTGTGTTATGCAGGTTAGTCACAGGAACAGTTGCTGTTCTGTTCTATCTACTAGTATAGGCATAGTCACTGATACCAAGAAAAGAGAGGGAGAGACAAAAGAGATATGAGATGGAGGCCTAGGTAAGAGTAGATCACACAGGAGATAGGCAAAAAGGACAATATAAAAAAAAAAAGCTCCCAAGGCCTAAATGGTGAAGTGGTTTAAACAATTCAAGTTTTAGATTCTACTCTTATGTTTACCCACTGCCTCTTTAGGTTTTATTTTTTTGAGACATTAATACTGAAATCCCAGAAAATATCAGCCCCTGACTCCCTGAGATAATTTGGGATTTCTAGTAAATCCAAAACCTACAAGATTATTATTTTTTCTCTTCATTCAGTGTGAGAATGAGGAAGAGTGCAGAGACATCAAGAAGACTCACTTAGAGCGAGAGAGTTCTTCACGATTAGCTGCCTCTGCCCACAGCCTCACTACTGCAAATCACTGCAATATGAATGAAAATAGGTAAGCATTTTCCTTTTTATTTACCACTGAGTCATACAACTAGTTGCAGTTTAATGCTGTGTGTTATTTTTTCCTTTAGTAGGATTTATTTTTTAATTATCGCATTTTATGTTGAAAAATTACCCACTGCATTCTCCTCTCTCCTGGTTTAATGAACAAGTTACCAGCTCCTGACACATTTATATGCTTGCATTTTTTGTCCTATTGCACAAAGAAGTTGTGAGTTCAAGTGTGGGGCTCATGGAATGACTATAGTTAGAGCAGTGTGATCATCCGAGATATACTCCCAAACACTGTGTTCACATAGGCAAGCATCTTACAGCCTTCTTTTTCCTTACAGCATTACTGTTTTCAAATTTGACCATATTAATACAATTATCTATAAACTTTATGGAAAAGCTCATAACAATTCCTGCAATTGTTATATCCAGAATATATTTGAGATCCAGTATTTTTGAGATTACAAGCAATCTATTCTGTGTAATTAGTAGGTATTTTAGGACAAGGAACTCAGGCTTAAAAAGCAATGAGAATTTCAAAGGATGTGGATCATGAAATGAATGAAGAATATTTAGCATTTGCTGGCATGATTTATGCACACAGACCCCTATCAGTGTCAGATCAATCATACTGAGTTTCTCTAGAGATTTCCAGCAGTCAGACTTAGACAAGCATCTTTTCAGAGTTCATCTGCATGCTGTTTAGAATCATAGAATCCTAGGGGTTGGAAGGGACCTTGAAAGATCATCTAGTCCAACCCCCACGTACGTGCTCTCATCAGTATTTGAAAAAGAAAAAGAAAAAAAAATAAATCTGGCAGTATCAGGATATTTCTTGGGGTTGAACGGCTGAATTAGAGAATAGTTGTATTTATTGTAGTAGGTTTTTCTGTTGTACACATCACTGATGAGTTTGAGCAATTCTTATCATTAATACTGGAAAAATTAATGGAGAAAACTAGTGTATATAGTACTTCTTCAAAAATATGTATTCAGTTTGTTTGTCCTGACATGTCACATATGTTTCATAAAGTGAAAACAATACACAGAACAGTTTGTTTTATTGTGGGTGATTACATGCAGGCATGCCATTCCTGTTACTGCAGTGTCATGTTTTACATCAGATTTATTTTCAGAATAGCATGGCTGTCATAGCCTGATGTCACAGGGTTAATTCTGTGCTTCCTAGAAGGAGGAGAACAATTTGTGTTTTGCTTGACATTATAGTCAATACTTCTGGTAGTAACTGTACAATAAAGAAACAAGGGAAGTGACCTTAAATGTATATTTGCCTCCTAATTCTTACCTGGTCTGCCCTGTTTCCAGGATGTTTCTGTGGTATATGCTACTAAAGGACATGACAGTATTCCCAGAGCTGAGGATGATCTACTGAGGCTGTAGCTAAACCAGCAGTGCACATGTCAGGGCCTCCTGTTTCTCTTGCAACCAGCAGCTGCTCATGCTTGCACATCCCCTTCAATTATGCTGTCTGTGAGGCTCTCCTGTAAATTCACTCAAAAACTCTGAAATTAGAACTCTTTTTTTTGTTTGATTGATTTTGTTTGGGGTTTTTTTGTTTGTTTTGGTTGGTTGTTTTTTTTGAGGAAGTCAGGCTGTTAGTTCCTGCTTACTTAGTTCCCAGCAGAGCCACACAGACAGTTCTGTCAGTACAGCTGAGGGCTGGCAGCAAAGAGAGGAGCAAAAACACCTTCAAACATGATCATTTTCTACTGTGGAATTACAGTCTGATGTGCAGACTAATCAAGGCCCTATATGACAAGAAAGGCTGCAGGGTCAAAAAAAACAAAGCCTCAGCTATCTTGCACCTACATTGGGTGCCACCATCTGCCCACCCCCAACAGACCAGAGCTCACTGCAGGTTGTTCTGCACTGCTTCTCAGTATAAGATAATTGTGCTGCTGCAGCTTGACTGCTCACAATACACTTTGGTGGGCCCTACACCATGTGCCAAAGGCCATGGGGAAGGTCTGAAGCAGAACTAGAAATTGCAGCTACTCCTCACAAGCACTGGGCCAAGCTTTTGAGACTTGGGAACACTTTCAAAGAGCTATGGCTTCTCTTGGACGTGTTATGCCTGCACTTTGACAGTGATATATAAACATGGCTAGTCAAGACATGGGTATATGTTTGAAAAGAGGAAAATAAATTACACCATTGGTCTGCACATTCAAAATAGTGCTGAAGATCTTATTTTTCTTAGGGGGAGAAGAAGAGCACGGTTGTTCATCTTAGACACCCTAATTCTTGCTTTTGTAAACAGAATTGGTCGTTAAAGCAAAATAGTTCACATTGTGTTTTAAAGGTACTACACTGGGGAAAACAGGAAAGGTTCTGAATTATTATTCACAGCTTCTTTCACATCTAATTTTTAAAGACTTGCCAGATAAATGGACAAATATATGATAAGAGCACACTTAATTAGCTCCATTCCCTGAAATAATGTGCAGAAATAAAGTATAGTTTGTACCATCTTCTTTTTTGCGATTCCATTAAGCATATACTGTCTGATACAGTAACTATAAAGAAGTGAGAATTGTCTATAAAAAGTAATAGGCTGAACAAAGGTGAATGTGACAGGGAAAGGTATTATGTTAAAATAGTCTGTCTGACCTTAATCACAGTTTTAGTCTTAATGCAAACTGTGTCCTTAAGAAAACTTTAATTTTGTGTGTGTTGCTTTAAGATTTTCAGCTAAATGTTTTCTTCAAATTAGTGCGTCTGAAGTTTCTTTCTGGGCATATTTTTACAGTCTGTCTGATTTCTCCTAATCCAAAGTTTCTCCCAAATAAATGAAAGCTGAAAATACTGTCTGTGTTGCGGTTTTCTTCTAAAGAAGACAGAGCAGCTCACATTTCTCTGAGTCCACTGTTTGCATCTGTTTCCTTTTCTCTGCAGTACCAGCCTATCTTTCTTTGTCTCCAAATTCTGTATTATATTAGTATAAACAGTGCTACCAAAGGTTGAGCACTGAACACAAAGCAAGCCAGTCATCTTTAAACACATTTCCTGTTTTACTTCGCATATGGTTTTATTGCCATGGCTTATAAATTGTCACCTGTAATGATGAAATAAGGCTCCATAGCCTGAACTTACACTTCAGAGCCTAATCTTCGTCTCCAGCTATCCCTTAAGAAATGGTGAGCAAGTGGCCATTTATCTCCGTAGTTTTTTTCCAAGTACTCTGATACAGACTTTATATTAACTCCAGAATTACAATTTGCCTTCATGGAGAGGAGAAGAAACATGATACAAATTTGTAAATGAAGTCTTGGTCCCAATACTATAAGCTTGTTTGCAGATACCAATAGACTTTATCCTGCCAGAAGGTTTTAAATTCAAAGTTTTGGTAATATATAAAACATTTACCTTTCTCAAAGCCAGCTTTGTGACACTCCATTACTGTAATTTCCATTTCCAGCTTGGCAATGCCAATAAATAAAAATGAGAAAATGCTTCGGTCACCCGTCTCTCCCCTCTCTGATGCATCAAAACACAAATACTCCAACGATGATTTAACTTCCTCCAGCAAACCTAATGGCAGCAGTCTATTACATTCCATCTCCTCCAGCAAAAAACATAAGGGTGAAATCCAGTCGCAGCCACATTCCGGAGACTTCAATGTAAGTTTATGCTGTTGTTCACAATATAAAGCCTAGCTGTGTATTTTTCACTTTGTATTGCAGTCCCTGATAGTTTAGTAGAATGTTATGCAAAAAAATTGGAATATGAATCATGTTACTGTAAGTTCAGCTTTTCTGGTTTGGAGTTTAGCAAGGCACAGAAGGGAGGAAAGAGGTCAGGATGTAAAGCTGGCAAATACCAAAGGCTACATAAACAAAAGGTAAAAGCTAATGGCCCAAAACGAATGGCTTTAGGCCTCCAGGGTACTGCTTGGGCACATTGCAAGTGCCCTACATCCAAGAGTGTGGTGCACAAGGCCTATACTGTATAAGGCCTCTGCTCAGCCACTGCCTAACCATGAGTGTGCCTGAAGACAAATTCTCCTATGTGTCTTACAACCAACTTTCTCAGACGCTTTTACTTACTCTTGACATCAGGGAACAGATTAGCATCAGCCCCACAACTCATTTCCATCAGAGGACAGGTATTCAAATACCTATCAGAGAGTTGATCACACTAAATGTATCCAGAGTGGCTTTCCAGATAAGGGCCACTGCCTTTGGAGCACAGAGATAAAGAAGTAGATGCTGCCTGCCATTTATGCATGAGCTCTGTGATTAGCTCTGTGATCCTGGAGTTAGCTCTTCTGGTTGAGGGAATTCATATCTCTCTCTCTCACCTCTCAAAATCATACCCTACTATCCAGGCTATAGGAGACTCCAGGTAGAAGATCAAGGGGATAATTTGAAGCTGTTCTGTTTTGTGTGAAATACCTAGAAGAAGCCATTTAGGCACCATCACATTGATGTCCACCGCTGGAGCATGTAGTCAGGCTGTTAAGGCACTCTGCTGCTGCTAGAAAAGCTCATGCTCTTCCTCTTGCTACAAAAATAATTTATCTATATTTATCCTATATCTAGTTGTTGTACTTGTTATTTGATACATAAGAGGCTTCAAATGCTTAAGTTATTGGTGTCTAAGCAACTATCAAGAAAACAAACTACCAGAGCTGGTCTCTTCCAGCCACTTTTACTGTGGGGATAACTAGTCCCACAGTGTATGTTAGTTATGTATGATAGAATCATAGAATGTTTTGGGTTGAAAGTGACCTTAAAGATCATCTAGTTCCAACCCCCCTGCATTGGCAAGGACACCTCCCACTAGACCAAGTTCCTCAGGGCCCCATCCATCCTGGCCTTGCGTACTTCCAGGGATGGGGCAGCCACAGCTTCCCTGAGCAACCTGTTCAGTCTCACCGCCCTCACAGTAAAGAATTTATTCTTAATATCTAACCTAAATCTATGCTCTTCCACCTTAAAATTGTTACTCCTCACCCTATCACTATATGCCCTTGCAGAAAGTTCTTCTTCAGCTTTCCTGTAGGGCAACTTTAGGTACTGAAAGGCTACTATAAAGCCTTCCTGGAGCCCTGTCTTCTCCAGGCTGAATATATGTATAAACTTAAATATATTTATTTTTTTTAAGGGTGAAGGTGAAACTACTAACTATAATCTTACATTTTGTACACTTTTTAAAAAGCAAGTTATCAAAAATTGTGTGTTTCAAGAATACCACCCAGATGGTAAATTGAGATAAAATTAATTCTATGAAAATATTTCAATAAAAAGGCTTTTTAACATATCTTAGTCATTATTTTTTCATGGATAAAATGTACATTTTTAAAGATTTTAACTTCTACAACATAAGTTTAGACTTCTATAACCCATTTAGATTTATAATAATATGATTCTTCACTGGATATCTTGAAAACAATTTAAATTCCTTCACAGGCAAATGTGCTGGAAATCAAAAGTAAAAGGTGATTGCTTTATGATCCACACTCTTAGCAAATGTGTTTCACTGAGATTTTCTGCATAGCCTAGCAATGCTCCATTTGGTCAACATTTTAACAACCTTTGCAATAAAATTCTTATGTATCTAGTTATTCATCTGAAAACTTTAGCCTGCTGAAGGAAAGAGGTCAGGATGTAAAGCTGGCAAATACCAAAGGCTACATAAACAAAAGGTAAAAGCTAATGGCCCAAAACGAATGGCTTTAGGCCTCCAGGGTACTGCTTGGGCACATTGCAAGTGCCCTACATCCAAGAGTGTGGTGCACAAGGCCTATACTGTATAAGGCCTCTGCTCAGCCACTGCCTAACCATGAGTGTGCCTGAAGACAAATTCTCCTATGTGTCTTACAACCAACTTTCTCAGACGCTTTTACTTACTCTTGACATCAGGGAACAGATTAGCATCAGCCCCACAACTCATTTCCATCAGAGGACAGGTATTCAAATACCTATCAGAGAGTTGATCACACTAAATGTATCCAGAGTGGCTTTCCAGATAAGGGCCACTGCCTTTGGAGCACAGAGATAAAGAAGTAGATGCTGCCTGCCATTTATGCATGAGCTCTGTGATTAGCTCTGTGATCCTGGAGTTAGCTCTTCTGGTTGAGGGAATTCATATCTCTCTCTCTCACCTCTCAAAATCATACCCTACTATCCAGGCTATAGGAGACTCCAGGTAGAAGATCAAGGGGATAATTTGAAGCTGTTCTGTTTTGTGTGAAATACCTAGAAGAAGCCATTTAGGCACCATCACATTGATGTCCACCGCTGGAGCATGTAGTCAGGCTGTTAAGGCACTCTGCTGCTGCTAGAAAAGCTCATGCTCTTCCTCTTGCTACAAAAATAATTTATCTATATTTATCCTATATCTAGTTGTTGTACTTGTTATTTGATACATAAGAGGCTTCAAATGCTTAAGTTATTGGTGTCTAAGCAACTATCAAGAAAACAAACTACCAGAGCTGGTCTCTTCCAGCCACTTTTACTGTGGGGATAACTAGTCCCACAGTGTATGTTAGTTATGTATGATAGAATCATAGAATGTTTTGGGTTGAAAGTGACCTTAAAGATCATCTAGTTCCAACCCCCCTGCATTGGCAAGGACACCTCCCACTAGACCAAGTTCCTCAGGGCCCCATCCATCCTGGCCTTGCGTACTTCCAGGGATGGGGCAGCCACAGCTTCCCTGAGCAACCTGTTCAGTCTCACCGCCCTCACAGTAAAGAATTTATTCTTAATATCTAACCTAAATCTATGCTCTTCCACCTTAAAATTGTTACTCCTCACCCTATCACTATATGCCCTTGCAGAAAGTTCTTCTTCAGCTTTCCTGTAGGGCAACTTTAGGTACTGAAAGGCTACTATAAAGCCTTCCTGGAGCCCTGTCTTCTCCAGGCTGAATATATGTATAAACTTAAATATATTTATTTTTTTTAAGGGTGAAGGTGAAACTACTAACTATAATCTTACATTTTGTACACTTTTTAAAAAGCAAGTTATCAAAAATTGTGTGTTTCAAGAATACCATCCAGATGGTAAATTGAGATAAAATTAATTCTATGAAAATATTTCAATAAAAAGGCTTTTTAACATATCTTAGTCATTATTTTTTCATGGATAAAATGTACATTTTTAAAGATTTTAACTTCTACAACATAAGTTTAGACTTCTATAACCCATTTAGATTTATAATAATATGATTCTTCACTGGATATCTTGAAAACAATTTAAATTCCTTCACAGGCAAATGTGCTGGAAATCAAAAGTAAAAGGTGATTGCTTTATGATCCACACTCTTAGCAAATGTGTTTCACTGAGATTTTCTGCATAGCCTAGCAATGCTCCATTTGGTCAACATTTTAACAACCTTTGCAATAAAATTCTTATGTATCTAGTTATTCATCTGAAAACTTTAGCCTGCTG